AAATAATAAATGACTCTTTGCTATTTTATATATTTTTCCAGTCTTATTAAATTGCAGGTCGAACACCCTGCTGTAGACTAACATGGTTCAGACGTGGCTTTCATACGTAGAATGAAGAAATGATTATTGATTTTGATCCTATGCTCTAAACTCGATCAAACAGAACCTCGTGAATGAATCCAGTCATGCTGATGCTTTAGGCAGAGGTTCAGCACCACAGCAGTTTGTTTGGTTGTTTGAATCTCTACGAACTACCGGAAAACACAGAGCAGGTGAAACCATGCAAACCCTGGCAGGTTGTTTTACAGACGATCACTTTCTGGATCAACGCCGTCACTGCAGACTCGAAACACAAGTTCTGTCGCTACTCACATCCTAATGAGATATTTTCCCCCAAATCTGTGACCTCAGCACTTTGAACCTCTGCTGTTGTTCATGTCATCCACACCAGGACTTCACGTCTTCTTCTGCCTCTGCGGAGCAGATCGACGCGTCTCAGGTCAAACTTAGCAGAATCTGTATTGTATTTATTTCCCGCTCTGCGCTGAAAGACCTCTGAAACAGCATCTAGCCACTCGCAGAACGCTGAAAACTCATCATGACGCGACTGAAGAACGGAGGCCAGAGGCTGACAATGGCTCGTAATGGAGCGAGGAGACAGCAGCAGACACTGAAACATTAAACACAGGTCTGTTTGTGTGCACACGCCTGCTGCATTATGCAAGAAACGTACGCAAACTAAACACAAGGCTCCTGTAAATGCTGCTTTATGCAGGACATGAGCGAGTGTTTCTGAGGCGGCTCACCTTCAGAGACAAAGCGAACCAGCCAGGAGTCAGGCTGTGTCGGTACACAGAGCCCTGATGTGTGTCTCCATCCACAGCAGCCAGAGACGCACCGCTGCAGGCCGCTGCCTAAAATAATAGCGAGCTGGACGTCTGCGGCCGCTGATGGAGGAAGATGCCCTTCTGCTCTCACACAAAGAAGCAGCAAAACAAAAGGCAGGCAGGCAGCAGCCGAGCTGCAGGCAGATCCAGTCCAGCTCCTGCTGAATGACAGACTGTAAGCCTGTTAAATTTTGTCTTTGAATCCATCCATGACCCTCTAAGAAGATTTACTCTGGCTTTGATCTGTTCGGCTGCTTTTTATGCTAAAGCTCAAACTTTCGGGGCAGAAACCCGTCGCTGGTTTTCATTACCCAGTCCAAAATTAAAAAGACTTAAGCGTGTCAGCGTTAAACGCAGCAAAAAGTGGGCTTATTAATAAAGGATGTGCAGCGGAGGAGGAGGAGGAAGAGGAGGAGGAGGAGGACGAAGAGGCGCCGTGACAGCACAGGGATCACGTTAATATCAGCCGGCATGGAGCTGCCTGCTGGGACCGCTGCAGCTCCACACATGGAGCTTCCTGAGCAGCAGGAGGGAGCTCCACCTCAGACGGTCCTCCCTCTGGTCCACACGGAACCTGCAGCTGAGACCGAGCCAAGTCCGACACACAGACATCATGGGTTCTGATCCTCGACTCTCAGACGGCACCGAAGCAGAACAATGAGGAGCCAGTCGTTAGTTAGTTATGCAGCCGTTAAGACAACAGACGGAAGTTTGACTGTAAACACACCACATATATACACCACATATACACACTATATACACAC